TTCTTCATTCCAGGAGTTCGGTTAAACTTTCTTCATTGTGTCTCTTTTCTTTCCAGATCCTGGAGGCTTTTTGTGGTTCTTTGTTGTGTTATTGAGTTGTTGTTTCAGCTCGGGTGAGTGTTCTTATGATCCACATACGAATTCCTCTTCTATCATTTTGGTTGCCTGATTTGAGTTGGTGTCCGTTTCTAGGGGGCTGGTGCTCCTCTTTAGGGGTGTGTTTTCCGTTTGGTTCTTCATATTTTTTGAGTTCTTTTGCTGATTTCTTCCCATGTCGATCAGTTGTTGTTTCTTTCTTTTAGGTTATTTTTGGGTATTCACCACCTGTTTAGTTTCTGAGGCGTTAGGTGGTGTCTGTGGGTGAGATTGGACCACTCCCTGTATATTGAGTCAGTGGGTGCCGTGGAAAGGCTGTGCAAGATGCCGTCCCTGTCAGTAGGTGGTGTTTGCTTGGAGGAACAGGCTATGCTGTTGATTTTGTGTCCTGTTATCAGCTGTTGATCTGGGCAGAGCTGGGTTGGGTAAGCCTGCCCTCAGGCAGTTAGCAGGGGTCAAAGTTCTGTGCTCTGCTTCCAGGAAAAGCTGTCAGGGCGGGGCTGGAATGGTCCTGCTCAGCCAGAAAGTCTGCTTGTGGGGGTGGGGCTGTCTGAGACCCAGTCTGGAGCGGGCCTCGCTTCTTTCCACCCTCCCACTCGCAGCTACTCCTGGGCCCTGCCAGCAGGCCAGACCACGCCACCGGCTCCCCGGATTGTGATGCCGGCGGGAGGTTCCCTGCGCAGAAACGCTGCCTGGGCTGGGCGCAAGGCCTCCCTTTGGTGGGAGGGTTGCCCTCTAGGACGCTGATCTGCCCCTGGAGGCACACACACCTCAGCTGGCTGTTCACAAATATCCCTTCTGTGCCCAAGGGAATGCTAGACCTCAGTGCACGGGATCTGGTCTGCAGGTCTGACCTCTGGGTCCCAGAGTTCAAACTGTATCCCCACCAGGGAGAGGAGTTCTGGTCCCAATTCACCCACAGGGAGCCCAAGCTGTGTCTGTGTCTCTCAGCCTCTGAGTCGGCACTGTTCTCCTGGGAACACCGTGCCAGCAGCACCTGGGAGGGCTGGCGGGTAGGGAGCTCACAGTCTGAGTTCCCCTGAGTCAGCTGTAGGGTCCCAAAAGGGAAGGTCCCGTTCCCTGGAGGTGCCTCCGGCTGGTGGCTATATTGTCTCTCTGGGCAGCCGCAGGTAGGGTCGGTGGAGGGGAGAAGGAGGCAATATGGCACCTGCCGCGCGGCTCGGGTCTGTGCACACGGAGGTGCCCCGAGGGATTTGGGAGTCTGGTGCCGTGTCCGCTACAGGCTCACCGCTAGCTGATGGCGGCCGTCTCTGGGCTGGTGTCCGCAGGTCTCTCCACCCGCTGGGAGGCCCACCAGCAGTCCCAAATGCAGGGGAAGGGAAAGGTGATTTATCCACCTACCCTTCCCGCTGGTCTCCGGGCTGCTCCCGCAGTCTCAGCTTCCAGTTCTCCTCCACAGCCTCCTCCCGTGGAGTCTCCCGGGGTCTCAGATACCCCTCCTTCCGGCCCTCGTCTGCTGTATGCTCGCCTTCTTGCTTCTTTTTTCTAATTTCTGCTAGAATCTGTCTTTTCTGCAGAGACACTCTTTCTGGTGGTGTTTCTCGTCCGCCATCTTGATCCTCCTCTAATTCCAGGGTTTTTTTCACCTTTGGTAATTAGTATTTGAAGCTTTAGATGACTTCCTCCATACTATATATAAATATCAGAGTTTGTAAGGTACTTTAAGGGTAGGGAGAAAAACAGATGAGAGAAAGGGAGATGAATGGGTCAGGTCACATGGAGTTTATGAATTAGGATATAAATCAAGGTGTGTGTTAACCTACAGCAGCATGTCAAGGCAATATGTATTGTAAGGAACAGGTAAGAGGAATATGTTGGTGGATATGCCTTGGAAAGGTTTTTCAGGATGAGTGGCTGACAAGATTATACAAATGTGTATCAGATTATCTGTTCAGGAAGTACTAAAAATGACTGCTAGAGAAAGCCAGAAGACTTCAACTTCAATGTAACTTCAAAGTGTTAGATGAGAAAACATGGTTTCTTCAAACAGGCACTTTGAACTGGTAAAATGATAACAAAATGAAATCAAACAGCTGATATTCCTAAAGTACTCACTATAAATTCTGCTTAGATATTTGCACTATTTAAGGACTTTAAAAGCACATAATAGAATATTAGCAAACAGATTCTAAAAGTACATTAAAATAATAAAACACTATGGCAAAGTGGAGTTCAAAACAGAACTCCAAAGGTGATTCAACTGTAGGAAATCACTACTATAATTCATCATATAGACAGATCAAAAATCCCACATTATTACAGCACAAAGGATACCATCCAAAGCAGTCTTTAATTGCGATGAAACCTCGCTCTTCTGGAAGAGGGTGCCCAATAGAAACTACATTCATAAAAGTGCAAAGGAGGAACCAGAGAATAAAATTTAGAAGGACAGACTAACTTTGGTACTACATGGCAATGCTGCAGGGCATATGATAAAGCCAGGCATTGTGTACTGGGCAAAGAAGCCACATGTTCTCAAAAACAAAAACAAAACTTATCTGTCCATGTTCTGGCAACATAACCAGAAGGCATGTGATAGTCATCTTGTTTATGAATGGTTTTGCCAATGCTTCATCTCAGAAGTGAAAAAATACTTGGAAGAGGAAAGGTTGGAGTGGAAAAATTAAAAAGCAATAGTATTTTCTTGGACAACTGCAACTTATTTTGAAAGTATTATCAATATCACAACTTTAAGACAAAATAACCAGATTCCCTCCCCCAAGCACTAAGTTATGTCTAATAGGAGATCCAGTTAAGAGGTACATTATCTCAAAGATTAGCCCATATTTAAAATATGTATTACAAATAGCTTTAAAAATAGAAGACACATAACACATTGTATTTCAAATCTTCAGTGATCAATGATGCTAATAGATAAGTATTATTCCTATACTTGAAAGCTAAAGCTAAATGAGGGTAAAAACTTTATGGTTAATCACAGAGGTAGTAGGTAGGTGGCAGGCTCTGAACCCAGGTCTGTCTCCAGAGCTCACCAATTTTCATTATACCATAGCATCTATCATAAAGCTTAACAAAAATGGCACCTTATTTATACCCAATAATAAGACTGAATATCTAAGGGTACTACATGATATACATAGATTCTATTATTTTACACTAGTGATATATTTTTATTATCCCAGAGTGATATATATTATTATTATCCCTATTACATAAAGGTAAAAAATGAACTTTATGTAGGTTTATTAATTTGTCTAGGAAAACTGCCTCTGATTTCATAATAACAATTTTAAATAATATGTATCTTATTTATGATAAAATATGTACATAAGTAAACACAAACATTCATAAACACAAACACCATACCATTTATTAGAGCATTTTTAGTGTTGTATCTTAACATATATTATTTCATAACATAAAATTCCTAAAAATCCTATGAGATAGGTATTCTTTTCTCCATTTTAAAGATGAAAGTGAAGTTAACAGAGATTAAATAACTCTTCTAGACTTGCATAACTTCTAAACTTGATGAAAACAAAAGAGGGACCCAGATTTGTCTGACTCCATAGTTCGTCCTTTTTAATACTATACACTGCTAAAATTTCATTAAAGGGATATTCCTTAAGCAAATTCAGATGAAATCCAAGATGTCCTTACTACTTATTTTTTATGATTAGAGAGTTGTATTTATAATCACTACAAATGTACTCAAAATATTTACATCAAATTAATGTGAACCAGCTAAAAAGAAATCAAAGAAGTTGCCTGAAATAAACCGAATCAGCTATGTCAGGTGCTTATATTAGATTCTCAAAAGGACTAGGTCCATGTTTGCAGTTCCCAAAATAGGGAAGATACACAGTATTTCTCAAGCCAACTTGAATAACAAGAAGGAGGAGAGGGAAAAAAGCGGAAGCAAACTTTGCAACCTCCTCCTTGTCCCTAACCTTTTCCTAATCCCCTTTGGTTAGCCTGGGTTTGTTTTCCTGACTTATTTTGATTATACTCCTGGCATACAGAATACTACACTAAACACCTGGCCCTTCCCTTTTGGCCTACCTAAACAAATCCTAGATATCTTCCTGTGTTGGATTTTACTTTTTAATTTGTTTTGTTGATCCTGTCAGTCTCCTATTCAGTAGTTGACTACACTTAGTTTCTCTCTAGCAGTTGGAGATGGCTCTTGAGCACTCTCCCCTAAAAATCAGCCATTGTAACTATCCTCTCTCCTAAAATCAAACCCTTTAGAACTTAATATTCTACGGTAGTTTAGAAATGGCAGACTTGGCTATTTGAAGGCCAAAGAGAAAGTGGGGAAACAATGGTGAATGAAAGCACAACTACTACAGATGCAGGTACAAAACTAGAGAAATTGGGTCATTCTAATCCCAAGCTATCTATTCAGAAGTTATATGTAAACCTATATGAAATGAAAGCTTATGACCAAGGGACAAATGAGAAAAGTATAAGAAATATTTTTTAATTCATAATACCTACCTTGGCTCTCAGTTTGAAGGGCAATGATTCCTAGGTTTCAAAACTTAGGGAAAAGAAGGCTAAGTTATCAACAGTCTATATATATTTGCTTGCCTGGAACATCATCCTACTTATTATTCGATAATTAACTAGAGCTCTCACACAATGTATAGCCTGTAAGATCTCATGAAACAAAGTGAGCCCTCATGTGCTGCTTTTGTAAGAGGTTTCAGGACACTACCCTGCTCTAATCATTCCTATCTCAAATTTCTCTAAGAGTCAGACACTTTACATTATCCTGAAAAGCTCTTATAAACAGCAAGAGGTGGTTTAGGGGGCAAACAAAATGTATATTTTAGAAAGAGAAGGGGGAATTCATCAAAAAAGGAACTTTAGAAGTTCCCATGCTTTTCCAGAAAAACAAACATACCTAACATCCTTACCAGTAAACAACATCCAGTGGTGCAAAGTAATTTTTCATTATCAGGTCAGCAAAGTAAGCTTCTGTTTCCCTGCAAGCAGTTCCATTTCCAATCACCACTGTGCTGCAGCTTCAAAGGAGAAAAAGAATGAGAAACTGAATTTCAAGGCATGCTTTGAAATCAATCAGAGAAAATGTACAGAACGCAAAAATACTATTATATGATGTTCTTATTCTCTCATATATCCATGAAACCTGTCCATTGTTGGAAAAGGCAAACACAGACTTAGGTAAAATAAAAGATACTGTCCCTGCATTAGGTATAGGAGGCAGTGGAGAAATATTTTACTGTCATACTGTCTCAAAAATAGTCAGCTTTATTCCCATCTAGAAGGAACCAAAATTAGACATAAGTAAACTCTGGAGCTTGCTAAGCCATAATAAAGACATTATGACTGAATTATATATTGTCAATTTCTGAAGCTTTTAACTACTACTACATTCTTTCTTCAGATCCATAAGGAAGAGAAGGAAGGGAAGGGAGGAAAAGAAGGAAGATGGAAGGGAGAAAAGATAGAGGGAGGGAAAGAGGGAACCCAAACAGAAGAATGAAATTCTCACATTTGCCCATATTACCACCTTTATTTACAAAGGGGTAGACAGGAGAATTCCTCCAGAGTCTCCACAGTAGAATTCTCTAGCAATCTGCCCCAGCACTGTTTTACATGGTTCCTTCTCTCTCACCAAGGCACTTCCCTTAATCCCTCCCTCCAAATTAGGGGCTTCAAAGATATCTCTGGATGAGCCCATTGAAATACTCAAAAGATTACTTATTTTCATACTTGAAATTCAGCAAAAGCCTCTTTATTTTCTCTGCCTCTCGGAAGCCTTGTCCACAATGCAAGTAAACCACATCGGTATGAAGTATCTGACCTTTAAAAAATGAAAAGGATAAACCATTTTGTAAAAAATTACAAAATGTATCACACCAATAATTTGATTAAGCAAGCTGTAACAGAAAAGGAGACTGGCTTGTCTTTTAAAATGCTGTCTGAATCCTTCATATTCTCTAAATAAGACTGTCCCTAAGCACACTGAAATATTATTACTTACAAAGTCTCAAGGATTCTATATGACTACACAAAACCATTATTAACTGGATAATATGCCATGATACCTAAAAGAGAAATGGTTTTCAGTTAACACCTAACATTAATAATAGTAAACGCAAATACTTACTGAATACTTACTATACATCAGACACTACTGTCTTATTCTATTTCTTCTTTTTGGTTTAAATTTATTTATCTTGTGTAATTCTTTGAGCTGCATATTTAAGAATTATAAGCTTTTCTGTATTGCATTACATACAAAATATTTTATTTTTAAGTAAAAATATTTTTTAAAATGTGAGGGTAACCATCTAAAGACTAGAAATAATGAGCTAAGAGACCAATTTAGGAAGTTAGGAAAAGAACAGAATAATCCCAAAGAAAGCAAAAGATAGGCAATGATAAAAGCAGAAATTAACAAAATAAGAAAAAAATACAATGGAAAGATCAACAAAGTTTAAAGTTAAAAAGCACTTATAGGAAAAATACATACTTTTAGCAATACTTATCAAGAAAAAGAAAAGACAGAAGATACAAATACACCAATACTAGAAATGAAAAGAAGATATAACTAGAGATTGAGCAAGACTAAAAAAATACAGGAAGACTATTATAAACGACTTTATGTTAATGAGATTAAATGATAAAATGGATATATTCCTAGAAAAAAATATTACCAAAACAGACTGAGGCTACATATGAGTTTATGTGTATATGTGTGTGTATGTAAAATTTTAAAAAGAATTTATCCTATAAGCAATACAATAACTGAAAACTGACCCATCAACATATCCAGAAGAAAGTTTCATGACCATGTTGAGTTTAATCTAAGGAAAGTGAGTGTGATTTGACATTCTTAAAAAATCTAATAATCTAATTCATCACAGTAACACACTGAGGGATAAAAGCCATATGATATCTCATTAGATGCAGGAAAAACACTGATAAAATATACTTCCCATTTATTGTAAAAATGAATAGCATAAAAAGACAATTACGATAACAAAACCAAAAACCCATGACTATAATAATGATAACAAAACAAACAGAGCAGATGGGAACCATGCACTGAAAAGACCTCCACACATCAGCATCTGTGTGGGAGGAACCAGAGAGAAGCAGTGGAGTAGCTCATGGACCTGACAACAGGAGAATCCCCCAAACATAAAAAGATACTTCCCTGGAAATCACAACAGTCAGTTGGAGAACAGGAACTAAATGAAACTGGGAGAGATACAGCATAAAGATTGCCCACCAAAAATTAGAAAGAATTGGAAAACTCTGATCTCTATGAACTCTTGAAACCAATTAGTAGAAGACCTCTTTCAAGACAAAAATCCCACACTGAGGAGAAACATCTGGGAATCACTCCCAAATTGAGCTAAGTAAGCATAGTAAAAGCAAAGGAAAAAGCCCAGATAAAAGAGAGAAAAGCAACACAGGCAGATTCTAGAAACTATGAGACTCTCTCTCTAGCCATGTGGGTTTTTTTTGTTTTGTTTGTTTTTATAATTGGAAACATATAGGGAAAGTTCTAAAGATAAACAGCTAGGAAACCTTTCCTGACCCAGACTCTCCTTCTAAAAGCTCTGGAAAAGCTTAGTTTTATGTAAAACTAGAGCACAGACTAGGTGCAGTGACTCCACTCTGTAATCCTAATTCTTTGGGAGGCAATGTGGGAGAACACCTGAGGCAGAGTTCAAGAACAGCCTCAGTAACATAGTGAGAAACCCTGTCTCTACGAAAAATAGAAAAATGAGCTGGGTGTGGTGGCACATGCCTGTAGTCCCAGCTACTTGGGAGGCTGAGGCAGGAGGATCACATGAGCCAAGGAGTTTGAAGATGTATCGAGCTATGATGATGGCACTCCACTGTAGCCTGGGCGACAGAGTGAGACCCTGCCTTGAAAATAATAATAATAATAATGATGATGATAGCCTAGGGTTCTTCAGGCAGAAATAAAATAATTCTCAAAGAAAAACACAGAAAAACAGAAAGAAACAAACAGTAATAGATAAGGGATAAGGTAAATATAAGAATAAATAAGAAAAAATATTGATGAGACAAAACAATAAAAGTGTCTTTTTGTATTTAAAATATATACAGAATTAAAATGCATCATATATAAATGCATCACAATAAATAGAAGTTGATAAGGGCTAAGAGAGTTCAAGTCTGAGCCTAGTTAATCCTCCATTATGACACAAGGAAGGATATAATGATGGTCGTATGTTCAAGGTTTTGATCAACAAATAACAGAATATGAATTTTGATCTCTGGTTCCAATATTCCTGTTTTAAGAAAATCATTTCTAAGCCTGAAAATTAACATTATTTCCAAATCCTCATGAAATGCTATGAAAATGAAAGTTTTCATTAACACCTAACATTAATAATAGTAAATGCAATACTTACTGAATACTTACTACACATCAGACACTACTGTCTTATTCTATTTCTTTTTTTGGTTTAAATTTATTTATCTTGTGTAATTCTTTGAGCTGCATATTTAAGAATTATAAGTTTCTTGTATTGCATTACATACAAAATATTTTATTTTTAAGTAAAAATATTTTTTAAAATGTGAGGGTAACCATCTAAAGACTAGAAATAATGAGCTAAGAGACCATTTAGGAAGTTAGGAAAAGAACAGAATAATCCAAAGAAAGCAAAAATAGCAATGATAAAAGCAAAATTAACAAAATAAGAAAAAAAAATACGGAAAGATCAACAAAGTTTAAGTTAAAAGCACTTATAGGAAAAATACATACTTTAGCAATACTTATCAAGGAAAGAAAAGACAGAAGATACAAATACACTAATACTAGAAATGAAAAGAAGATATAACTAGAGATTGAGCAAACTAAAAAATACAGGAGACTATTATAACACTTATGTAATGAGATAAATGATAAAATGGATAATTCCTAGAAAAAAATATTACCAAAACAGACTGAGGCTACATATGAGTTTATGTGTATATGTGTGTGTATGTAAAATTTTAAAAAGAATTTATCCTATAAGCAATACAATAACTGAAAACTGACCCATCAACATATCCAGAAGAAAGTTTCATGACCATGTTGAGTTTAATCTAAGGAAAGTGAATGTGATTTGACATTCTTAAAAAATCTAATAATCTAATTCATCACAGTAACACACTGAGGATAAAAGCCATATGATATCTCATTAGATGCAGAAAAACACTGATAAAATATACTTCCCATTATTGTAAAAATGAATAGCATAAAAAGACATTACGATAACAAAACCAAAACCCATGACTATAATAATGATAACAAAACAAACAGAGCAGATGGGAACCATGCACTGAAAAGACCTCCACACATCAGCATCTGTGTGGGAGGAACCAGAGAGAAGCAGTGGAATAGCTCATGGACCTGACAACAGGAGAATCCCCCAAACATAAAAAGATACTTCCCTGGAAATCACAACAGTCAGTTGAGAACAGGAACTAAATGAAACTGGGAGAGATACAGCATAAAGATTGCCCACCAAAAATTAGAAAGAATTGGAAAACTCTGATCTCTATGAACTCTTGAAACCAATTAGTAGAAGACCTCTTTCAAGACAAAAATCCCACACTGAGGAGAAACATCTGGGAATCACTCCCAAATTGAGCTAAGTAAGCATAGTAAAAGCAAAGGAAAAAGCCCAGATAAAAGAGAGAAAAGCAACACAGGCAGATTCTAGAAACTATGAGACTCTCTCTCTAGCCACGTGGGTTTTTTTTGTTTTGTTTTGTTTTTAATAATTTGGAAAACATATAAGGGAAAGTTCTAAAGATAAACGCTAGGAAACCTTTCCTGACCCAGACTCTCCTTCTAAAAGCTCTGGAAAAGCTTAGTTTTATGTAAAACTAAGCAACAGACCAGGTGCAGTGACTCACTCTTGTAATCCTAATTCTTTGGGAGGCCAATGTGGGAGAATCACCTGAGGCCAAGAGTTCAAGAACAGCCTCAGTAACATAGTGAGAAACCCTGTCTCTACGAAAAATAGAAAAATGAGCTGGGTGTGGTGGCACATGCCTGTAGTCCCAGCTACTTGGGAGGCTGAGGCAGGAGGATCACATGAGCCCAGGAGTTTGAAGATGTATCGAGCTATGATGATGGCACCCACTGTAGCCTGGGCGACAGAGTGAGACCCTGCCTTGAAAATAATAATAATAATAATGATGATGATAGCCTAGGGTTCTTCAGGCAGAAATAAAATAATTCTCAAAGAAAAACACAGGAAAAAC